TCATTTCGGTCCAAGACCGCATCCACCAAGCATTGGTAGTCATGTCACCATGTAAATAATTACAAGAATGGCAAAACAACCTCTTATACATTTTTTTCAAAAAAAAAAAAAAAAAAGGAAAAAGAAAGAAGTAAATTCTAAATACATGTCCTTTTTCTTCTCCTTCTCGACTGACACCTGCATAAAAATGTCAAATTTAAACAGAGAAACGTGTGGAGACGCACCGGCTAAAATAAGCCGAAGATGTTTACAGTGGGGCTTAGCAAACGAATAAACTATCTGTTTCGACAATAGGAGGTGAAATGTTGAAAATGGGACGTCGGATAAAAGTCAGTTAATACGATAAAACAAATTAATTTATGAGATACGATAGAGATTTCTTTTTCTTTTTTTAATACTTTTTTAACGTTTTGAATAAGATCATCACCTGGTCCGTTTGGCCATCTTACAAATGGGATCTTTTCATTGAATATATTCAACCATTATTCTCTTTGTTACACATGTTTAGTTTTCGTGACGTCTTTATTCATCATCAATTTTTCTGTATATATATATATATATATATATATATATATATATATATATATATATAAAAAAAGCTTAAACACTAATATTCCATGGTCATAATTTATTCCATTGGAATTGTAAATACGATCAATTCATCAGACCTAAAATTAAAAAAAAAGGCTTTTTGAATTTGTAGGTTTGATGAATTGGAACCGTAATACGATCCATGGAATATTAGTGCTTAGGTCTTTTTATTACATCCTTACTCTGTCACGGACATTGAGTTCTTCCTGTTTTATCCTCTTGGATTTATTTTTTTATACAAATATATATGTATGTATGTATATATATATATTAGATATATGTGAAAAGTGAATATAAATATAAATAAATATATATATATGTATAATTATTTATATATTATATGCGCGGTACTTATTAGAAAGCGCTCAATATCAGAGATAGAGCTAACATATTTGGTTGGATAGATGTGAGTTTGTGACGGTTTCACGCTTTAGCGATCGTCAGACAAACTGATTAATGTTTTAAAAATTGGGGTTTATGTAGATTGCGTGTATTGGTGTTATTGTGGAAGTGGTGGGGAAATTTCGTCGTTTTGTCATTCATCGTACTAACGCAAACATCGATGTATGCAGACACATATACATATACATACTTGGTCGTCCGTCGGGACTCATACATATATAAACATATGTAGACAGTTTCGGCTATGACACATGTATGTATACGGGTGGTGTTATGTCTATACATACGCATTTGTATGTTGAAATGTTGAAATTTAAACATTGGAAGTGTGGTGGAAATGTCTCGTTAATGTCTCGTGAATGTATCCATGTCATATTATGGAATTTTTTTTTTTTTTTTTTTTTCCGTTGAAAAATATTTGAAAAATATTTTCTCGCATGTATGTATATATGTGTGGTGGGGTTTGTGTAAAATTATGATAGGTAAAAATTATTATTATAATTATTTATATTTATTTTTAAATTTTTCAAAAAAATGGGGGTTTATTTGTTATATTTAAAGCTGGTTATTTGTTTGTTTTTGGTGACTGTGTATATGTAACAGGTAAAAAATTGTAATCCTTATTGTTTAATTTATATGGTGATGTTTAATTTAATAACGGGTTTTATATGATATGATGTGATAGTAATGTTTCAAAGGATTGGAGACAATGCTATTTAGGTTTTAGCTAATAGTTATTGTAAACTGGAAGAAATTGCAGATTGGTAGAAATGATTAGTAACGGTGGTGGGAGAATGATAAAACCATGAATGTAGTTATAGTGGTGGTAGCTTGAACTAAAAAGTGGTTGTTGGTGTTTTATTTTGTTTTATTTTGTTATATGTATTAATTTATTTTGGTATAAATCCTGATAATAGGTATTCTATGTAAAAATTATGGTAGTTGAAGATTGCTATAATTTTTAATTACAAAATTATTATTATTATATTAAAGCTGCCTGGTAATAGGTGTTTGTTCTCATGGTTACATATGGAAATTATATCTGATTATATTGTTTTAAAGTATTAAATATGCTGGGGGTAATAAAGATTGTAGTGGATTATATGTTAATAGTGGGTGTGATGTGTAAGTGATGGTGCTGTGTATAGGTGGTAATGATAATATTGATAGTTAATAGATATTGTAAGGTGGTAAAAGTGATTACTAATGGTGGTGCAATTATAATAATGATAGGTGCAATTATTTTGATGGTATCTTGAAATTAAATTGTGATTGTTCTCATGCCTACATTTGGAGATTAAAATTAATCTCCAAATGTAGGCATGAGAACAAGTATCTATTATCCAAATTCATACCAAACGGATAAAACAGACAAACCACCAACAATAGCAGGACAGACTGGGTTCTATAGCCTTGGATGGCAACTGGTCCTTCTCTGAATTCATAACCTGCGGAGGATCTGTATTCAGCAACTCAAAAAGTGTGGCTGGTCCTGCACGAAACCTTCACCACTATAATCAAATCTCATGTGTCGTTGTCGGGCTGTCGGTTTCCTAGGAACTGATCTGCTTCACCCGCATACGCCGGATTCGACGTGGAGAGTCGAGTATATATATATATAAAGATGAGGACAATAGTCCGACTAATGTAAATATTGTACATAATACCTCATCTCAGAAATATAGACAAACTCTGAAGTATGACTATGTTATGTAAATTATGCAAAAGCGTTATATATATATATATCACAAAGAGATGTTTGAACTCCTAGGCAAGCTTGATTTATTTAAGAAGGATATTAAAATAATGCAGAAGTTATACTGGGAGAAAACGGCTAGCATACGGGTAAAAAATGAATTCAGTAAATACACAAAAATAGAAAAAAAAAAAAGCGTAAGACAAGGATGTATCTTCTCGCCGGACGTATTCAATACCGTGAAAACGATCACTGGATAATTAGAAGTACTACCAGGATTCATTATTGGCGGCTATAATCTTAATAATATAAGAAATGCAGATGACACAGTGTTGATAGCAGACACAAAGCAGCACCCAGAAAAAAATCAATTGATTTGTTACGATAAAGGATAGATTTTTTTCAAGGATGTGCATTTTCATATCGTCCACTCAACGACCAAGTTTAGTAACTTAAAAGCCATTCTGTATTTTTAACACCCCAAAAACTTAATAATGAAAATGTGCTCTCCGACAGAAGTACGCAGATCGGGAGAAACAGCATGTAATTTAAAATTAACGGAATGTCTGCTCAAATGCGGGTATCAAATAAAAAAAAAAAACCTTTGAGGTAATAAAAATGTCGGACTAAAAAAAAAAAATAAAATCCATTAATTATATATATATATATTGGATTCAGACCGACTATCTAGGTCTGCTCTACGGTTGTATTGAGCTCTTTTGTTAGTTAGTTGTTACTCGTATCAGGGTTTTTTTCTTTGGGCTTCAGACCTGCATCTGTGCGATTTTTTTGTCGGCAGAAGTTCATGTTTGTAGCTCTTTTTTTTTTTAAAAACCTTTTTTCCCTCGAGATTGATTTGATTAGCAAATCAAAAATTCGAGGGTTTTTCGAAACGAGTCTATCTATCTATCTATCTATCTATCTATCTATCTATACATATATATATATATATATATATATATATATATATATTGGATTCAGATCGACTCCGTGAGCAAATTAAAAACATTCTGGTATGATTAAATCATTTTTACATAATTTTGAACCTAAAATGCAATACTTATTTTATTCAATAGGACTTAATACATGCCAATATGTATATATATGTTGTGGTGTCTTCCCTCTAAAGAGTCTATGTTGGACTCTTCCGCCGCCTACTATAAGATTAGTAGGTGAGAAGGCCTTGGGGAAACAGTCGCACAGATTGTTCAACTGTAAAACTCTCTGCCTCGGCAGAGAGGAACTCGGACGAAGCTTTGCCGCAGGATAAAGTTTTGTTCGGGGAAGTAGACAGTCCCTGAACCCGTTTAGACGGGATCAAAGAGAATATTTTTGGCCGAGCCTACGGGCTCGAAGTACCCACAATAAACCGGCCTTGTGCCACATACACACTCGTGGATGGCGGCTGTTAGATATTAAAAGTCGAATAGATTGAAAGCTGGGTCAACCGACACACACTCACTAGTCGTCTAATACTCTCCCTCTGTACTACTGTTTAATATATGATATATCTGTAACATTTGTTTTGTTATGTCTTTAACCATTTACTTGGTCACATCTTACCATTCCTCGTCGCCAAGATTTAGAGGGAAGATCTCACAACAATATATATATATATATATATATATATACACCGGGTGTAACAGCAAAATTGTCCAAATCGTGTAACAGCATCATTGTCCATCCCACTGAATGATTGATATCTAAAAATAATCCCACATTTCACATAAGGCGATTAGCTAACTTGAAACCATTTGACGTAAGAATCACAGAATCACTGAAAAGCTCTTCGACTTATTCATCTAGAAAGAGAACAGGTTAAAATCGTTTCGTGTCAAAGTTAGATGGTTAGAGAGGTCGAAGATCATCTTGAATAAGTTGGAAAATGATCTTGGAATCCTTAGCTATGATTAATTAATTATGAACATGCCATTTTCATTTATGATCGACTTCATCACAATTCTTCTGTTAAGCTTGGAGAGTAATTGTAGATACTTATTTTCCAATAGTGTTATAAAAACCTCGGAGAAATCCAGTAAGATATCTTTAATCATTTCTAAAATACAAGAGTTCAAATCATAATCTAACAATTAAATAATTTTGCTGTTAAACGATTTGAACAATTTTACTGTGAATCTTTGAAATTGTCTGTAAAAGTGCTCGATAGCAATATACATTTTATAAAAGATGAAATGTAAATAATAAAAATACATACAGACACACACACACACACACACACACACACACATATATATATATATATATATATAAGATTTTAAAGAAACGTCCGATATTACAGCACTTAAATACCATGAACTTGTTTTATATTTGGCCGATAGATCTGTTTTTTGGCGTGCGTAAATCTTGAAAAAGTAATTCGGATATTTTATTTAATAACTGGGTAGACTTAAACATTAACACCCCGGCAAATTTTTCGAAGTATGTAATATCAACTTTCTTTACTATACTCCCCTTTATATTCGGGCTTCAATATTGTTCTCGTCTTAAAACTCTAAAACCTATACACCCAGATTTATTGAACATTTTCCACCATTTTTAAATGCTGAAATTTCGGTCGTTACTTGAATATATATATATATATATATATATATATATATATATAGTAACGACCGAAATTTGAGCATTTAAAATGGTGGAATATATATATATATATATATATATATATATATATATATATATATATATATATGTATGTATGTATGTATTGTAATTATTTTAAAAAATATTGAGGACTGTTTCTTAAAATAAAACAAAAAATACTACGGATTTTTGGATTATTAACTCAGTTTGTTCGTCTATCTATCTATCTATCTATCTATCTATCTATCTATCTATCTATCTATTATTTCAGTCTGTTCATTATCTATCTATCTATCTATCTATTTATCTATCTCAAGTCTGTTAATATGTATGTATGTATGTATGTATGTATGTATCTATCTATCTATCTATCTATCTATCTATCTATCTATCTATCTAAGTTTGTTTGTCTATCTCAGTTTATTCATAATTATCTATCTATCTATCTATCTATCTATCTATCTATCTATCTATCTATCTCAGTTTATTCATAATTATCTATCTATCTATCTATCTATCTATCTATCTATCTATCTATCTATCTCAGTTTATTCATAATTATCTATCTATCTATCTATCTATCTATCTATCTATCTATCTATCTCATTTGAATTTCTCCCTCTCATCATAAACAAGCTTCTTCCACGAACCCTGACCCCATGTTAAATCCTCTACTGCTCTGTCAAGAGCTTCATTTTATCCGATATTATTTTCTCATTGTACTTTATCTTCATTTTATTTTTCGATTTACGAACTGACCCCTTTCCCTCTGTAAAATCACAATACAGAAACTGTTTAGGGATGTTACCATCTTCTATACTTACTGAATGGACGGCGCTCCTTGAATAATCTTAGTTTCAAATACGCTGGAGTGCATATATATTTTGTATTCTTCATATGGACAGTAGAAATAAGTAGTTGTTATTTATTTGAAACCGCCCCGTACGCCATGTTAGTAATCGTCACATAACTACTCGGAAGGCGAATGTCGATGGGCGGCCCAGTTTTTCTGCTTATTCATTCCAATTCGACATTAAATCATTTCTGCTTCAACTTAGGCATTGAACACTTTATTTTATTATAATTTACGTTTACTTTTTGGGTTAAAGTTTCTTTTATTATATGCTAGGAAAAATATAAAAAATATTATAAATAGGTTCCTTCAAAGATTCACTACAATATCAGTGAACTAATGGATAGCGGCTCGGATTGAGAAATCGGAGAGCCGGGTTCGAATTCCAGGTGAATCCATTACATTCACTTACGTGCTAATACCCTTAGGAAACGTATGAATCCTCTTCTTCTCCCTCCAGCTATGGGTAAATAGCAGGACAGACCGGGTTCTATAGCCTTGGATAGCAACTGGTCTTCCACAGAAAGAAATGGAAACCTACTGCAGGAAAAAAATCTGATCACCTAAGCGTGTATCACGCATGGCACATAACTGACTGATCAGCATACCAGTATGGAAAAATGCCCCAAACTCAATAATAAACACGGTTTTATCGGGAAAATCTTTGTGCTATTGTTAAGAGAAAAAGATCAAAGATCTTTTTTTTTGATGGAAAAACTATTTTTTAATTCTCTTTAGAACCTCAGAAATTTTGGTTAAATTTTCGTTTTTCTGGCATCAACGTGGGACCATTAATTTGTAAGTGAAATTTGAGTACTTTTTTGAGAATACATACATACATACATACATATATATATATATATATATATATATATATATATATATATATATATATATATATATATATATACGTTTCATTAAATAATATAGACAAGTGTTGTCTATTTATTTTATGTAAATTTTTTTCGTAACGTGACGTCTGATAAGTTTAATAACATTATCGTTGAACGAAGAAAGAACTTCACAATATTGATCCATATTTTTTTAATACAATCTAACCTTTCGGCTTACATAAGCCATTATCAAAGATGTCAATTACAAGCAACATACGGACACGACAGTGATGATAGTCTGTCATTGTTTACATAGATGATTTCTAAGCAACGATAAACACGCGCATATAAGACACTAGAAGCGAAAATCGCACCGCATCTCATGACGTCACACATGACCACACGAGAGTGAATTGGAGAAGTATGAAGTATGGGAAGCCGTTGGTATAAACCAATGGCTTCTGTTACCATATATATATGTGTGTGTGTGTGTGTGTGTGTGTGATAGCGTATCTAGAAATAAGACATATATTCCCTTAAAATACACAGAAATTGTTGATAATTATATTTATAGGTGTAAAATATATTTTAATATAGAATACTATATTTCTCTGAGTTAATGTATATCTCTCTTCAAGTTATACACACACACACACACAGATATACAAGAAACGTATCAATAAAAAAAGTAATCTCAGTAGATTGTTTATCTTCCATGAAATCTGAATATATACATATATTTAAGTTATTGCTCTTTTCTTCTTCTCCAAGCATTTTAAGTCCCTTCTGCTTATCCCCGACCGTTTTTTCTCTTTCTTTTCCTTATTTATTTTTCCTTCCTTCCTCTTATTTAAGTTATTGCTCTTTTCTTCTTCTCCAAGCATTTTAAGTCCTTCTGCTTATCCCCGACCGTTTTTTTCTTTTCTTTTCCTTATTTATTTTTCCTTCCTTCCTCTTATTTAAGTTATTGCTCTTTTTTCTTCTTCTCCAAGCATTTTAAGTCCCTTCTGCTTATCCCCGACCGTTTTTTCTTTTCTTTTCCTTATTTATTTTCCTTCCTTCCTCTTATTTAAGTTATTGCTCTTTTCTTCTTCTCCAAGCATTTTAAGTCCTTCTGCTTATCCCCGACCGTTTTTTTCTTTCTTTTCCTTATTTATTTTTCCTTCCTTCCTCTTATTTAAGTTATTGCTCTTTTCTTCTTCTCCAAGCATTTTAAGTCCCTTCTGCTTATCCCCGACCGTTTTTTTTCTTTTTCTTTTCCTTATTTATTTTCCTTCCTTCCTCTTATTTAAGTTATTGCTCTTTTCTTCTTCTCCAAGCATTTTAAGTCCCTTCTGCTTATCCCCGACCGTTTTTTCTCTTTCTTTTCCTTATTTATTTTTCCTTCCTTCCTCTTATTTAAGTTATTGCTCTTTTCTTCTTCTCCAAGCATTTTAAGTCCCTTCTGCTTATCCCCGACCTTTTTTTCTCTTTCTTTTCCTTATTTATTTTTCCTTCCTTCCTTCCTTCCTCTTATTTAAGTTATTGCTCTTTTCTTCTTCTCCATATTTTCTCCGATTACGCTTGTTCTTTAAACAATTGTTTTCTTCTTCATCATTTTTTTCGGTCCAATTTTCTTCACCTTCTTCCTTTTACGGTTCTTTGCCTTTTTTCTCATTCTTTTCCGAGTCCATTTTTTTCTGACATCGATTATTCGCTTCTTCATTTTCTTCTCTTCATTCTCATTACGAAAAACCCTTATTCCAATAAATAAAAAAAAAGGGCCGGGAATCTAAACTCTACTGGACTTTGTTGAAGAGATGATCATGGTACAAAAACCTGGCATATTCTTCCTCCATTTTTATATTTAAAGAATGGACAATTCTTCGCCTGCAGCGCTGAGGCGACGAACAATATAATAAGCTATGAAGCGGCTTCATTCTAAAAATATCAATTCATTTGAAGGATATCGATATATATATATATATATATATATATATATATATATATATATATATATATATATATGTATCTGTGTGTGTGTGTGACAGCGTATCTAGAAATAAGTCATATATTCCCTTAAAATACACAGAAATTGTTGATAATAATATTTATAGGTGTAAAATATATTTTAATATAGAATACTATATTTCTCTGAGTTAATGTATATCTCTCTCCAAGAAATAAGAAACATATAATAAAAATGTAATCACAGTAGCTTGTTTATCTTCCATGAAAACAGAATATAAATGGTGTTCCAATAACTTGGACCGATTTTAAATGTGAATTAACTTCAAGCGCCTAATGTTTTTTTTTCTTTTTCTTTCAGATTTAACAACTTTAAGGTGTTAAAGTTATCGAAGCCTATTACGAAAATTGACGTTCAAACAGAAATGCATTTTACTCACTTCGCGATTTTTTTGGTCAACATAATCGACCAACCGCAATTGGAAACGACGTAACGTTGTTGGGGAGAAGTTCAATTCCTGCGCGCGGTGACGAATAGAGGTGTCTGGATTTTCGGCTACATTCTCGGGCACTGCAGCAATATTTTCATCTGAACGGGGTAAACGAGCACGCAATAGTGTTTTCACATCTGCCACCGACCAAGTTTATTTAAATTTACGAAGGATTTTTCCCGTTGTACCCTTGAAACTTTAACATGTTTAATTGTTAATCTTTCCATGGTTGAAATTGACAAAGACTTAAGTTGTTAAATCTGAAAGGAAAAGAAAAAAATCATTAGACGCTTAAACTTAATTCATATTTAAAATCAGTCCAAGTTATTGAAACGCCATTTACATACATACATACATATATATATATATATATATATATATATATATATATATATATATATATATATATATATATATATATATATATATAAACCCAAGTATAGGATTGGTGTAGACGGAATAAATTACAATAACCAACAATTACTATTCTTAAAAGTGTGCTCAATACAGAGTAGAGCAAATATAATTATTCGAAAATTATAACATAAAAATGTTATAAAATCAACACTTCTGGTGTCTTCTTAAGTGATCACATGAGAAAACACCAGAAGTGTTGAAAACAAAATGGCTATTTTTGTAGTGATTTTATAACACTTTTTATGTTATAATTTTCGAATAAATAATTCTCTATCTCTCTCTCTCTCTCTCTCTCTATATATATATATATATATATATATATATATATATATATATATATATATATATATATATATATATATAATTAATGGTCATTAGACCAAGAAACAGTAGTATTAAATAGTACCCAATTCACGTATAAAAAATAAAACTTTAACATGTAGAACGTTTAGATATAGAAATTAACAAATCAACATTTTTTTCAACCTTTCCGTAACTTCAGGCGATTTCGATCAATTTATTTTTGATGCCCAGAATGTGTCTCAGACAGTGAATATGAAAAACGCTGAAGCATCTCTCCTCTTTGGAATAGAGGCTACAAGTTTCGCAACCGTATGCGTATAGACTGCAATCGATATATAACTATATATGATGTGGCAGAAATATATCCCACATTTTAAACTGTTACCTGTGTGTTGCTAATGAACTTAGGCAAATGACAATGGTGATTTCATCTAGCTAATGCTTATTTCATGTTACGTTGGAACGATGTTGTTGCGGATAGAAAATCGTTCCCATTATGAGTTAAAAATTCCAGTACCACAATGAAAGCCATCTGGAAGACCTCGAACTTTCGGGTCATGGAAAAATCATCCCCAACAGTGTATGACAAATAGAGACTGGCATTTGGAGAATGTAATATTTTAAATAAAAAAAAATTAAAAACTGTAGCACTTTGTTTAAACATCAGCTGCACACTATATATATATATATATATATATATATATATATATATATATATATATATATACTCAGTTTTACGGATATGAGTTTGTGTTCGAAAAGAAAATCTTTGCTGCTATGGGTTGAAATTTCTAGTGCCACAAGTTCAGTGATTAAATGAATGCCAACTGGAAGACCTTAAACTTCCGGATCATGGAAATCTTTAGAAATTATTCCCAACAGTTTATGACGAATAGGGACCTCCATTTGGAGGATGTCATTAAAAAAAAAAAAAAAAAAAAATAAAAAAGTTGTAGCACTTTCTTTAAACATCAGTAAAAACATTTTTTTTTTTAATAGCAGTTAACTTTGTCTTTTGTCAACCTTTAAAATGTGGAAGGTGTTGCTGCTGCACGCTATACATACATACATACATACATACATATATATATATATATATATATATATATATATATATATATATATATATTATAAATTAACTGATTTAAAATATGTTTTTTTCGCTAGACAGTTCTAACCATGTTTCAAAAATGGAAGCTAAAAGCTTTTAATTTAATTTTGTAATTAAATTAAAAACATTAGTTCCATTTCATCCTCAAGCGAATTTTGGAGTAACAAATTTTTAAATTTACCGAGTTTTAAAAATTATAATTTATAATTTACTGTTTCCAAGGATACAGAGAAATCCATTCATCGAGACAAGGGGTGGTTGCGTGTTCATTTTCATTGATTTTTGTTGTATCAGTTATTAATTACGTTCGAAAAAATTCGAAGGTTTTAGCTTCCATTTTTTAAACATGGTTAGAACTGTGTAGCGAAAAAACACATTTTAAATCAGTTAATTTATAATATTAATGCTCTGTAAATTTACATTCAGCACTATTTTGTAAAAAAAAATATCTATAAGAACACCGGATTATATATCTTACTGTTCTTTCTGTATATATATATATAAAACACAGGGTCACAAACTCAAATCCATAAAACTGAGTATATATATATATATATATACTCAGTTGTATGGATATGAGTTTGTGACCCTGTGTTTCATATATATATATATATATATATATATATATATATACTCAGTTGTATGGATATGAGTTTGTGACCCTGTGTTTCATATATATATATATATATATACTCAGTTGTATGGATATGAGTTTGTGACCCTGTGTTTCACGGTTTTGCGATTATTAGGCAAACTGTTTTTTTTTTTAAATTGAACTTATTTATGCTTGTTTGAGTTTTGTTATGTTTGGTGTTGGAAGGGTGAATTCTCTGTGTTCGTTTGGGATGGCACTCACACACATACAGACACACATACATACAGGTATACACATTTTACTCCACACAAACATACCCATATAAACAATCCGAGATTAGTTGCAGATACATATCCATGCTTTCTAGCATACATACATACGCAATTGTGATTCTATTTCGGTGTCGAGACTTTAGCATTTATTATATGTAGCGATGTTCTTCTCAACGAGAGGCAGGTTGTGGTGTTCTTGACTCTTTTCAGATCGTCCGCCTTCAAATCGGCCGAAACAGAATTACAATTGCATAAGAAAGCCACATGCAAGTCTTTGAAGTGCTCAAACTTCCAGGCGATGGAAAACTTTAGAAGTCGTTTACAACATTATAGGCCACCATTTGGAGGATGCCATTTTTAAAATCAAATGAATAAAAACTGTAGGCCTTTGTTTAAATAACAATGAGATCATTTATTTATTAGCAGTTACATCGCTCTTTTTGTCAACCTTTAAAATGTAGGAAGTGTTTCTGATGCTCCCTGTCCGTGTATTCACCAAAATAACATTTAGAGCTGTGATTCAAAACCGATTTTGGGACATGACCCACTTTGGTATTTCTAAAATTCTGGTGTCCCACCCCCTGTATATTCTATTTAATTATTAGATATTAAAAATCTGTATGTCCTCAAATACCAGCCGCACCCTGTAGTAATGAAAATCGAGAGAAAAAAAAGGAACTAAATATCAGTTTCAAGAAATCAAAATTGCCGCCCAAAATACCGGATAGCCCAAGAATCGAGCTAGGGATTAGAAAGATCAAAATTAAGCAAGGAGATAAGTTTAACTTACTGGAAAGTGTTTTTAACAGATGGCCGAAAATGTGACACCGAAATCCGAAGATGCATTGAAATATAGAAAGTGATCTTTTAGAAAATTAGCAAAGTTTTAAAACATAGACAGATATCATAAGAAACAACGAAAAGTATTCTGAATTGATATGTAATATCAATCCTCAAATAAGGAAATGAATGCTGGACAGTTACCACACAGAAGAAAATGAGATTTGCGGTAACAGAGATGTGGTTCTACAGAAGGATGCTGAGAATACCATAGACGGAACATGTGAGCAACAAGGAAGATTTATGGAAAATGAAAACAGAAAGGACACTGGAAGATAGAATTTTAAAAAAATATATACAGTTTAAATTTTCCAGGACACATAATGAAGAAAAAAGTCAAGACCAACAAATAATGATTTCGAATTTATTGATTTCGGTCTTAGTATTTACAGCAGTGATTCCCAACTGATTTTGGGCTATGCCCTACTTTGGTATTTCTAAAATTCTGGTGTCCTTCTCTGTAATATTTAATACATACATATTCAAAATTTCACTGCAATTTACGTGAAGGAAGCTTAACACTAGAACACTAAACATGGGTATATAATACCCAGCGCAAATTTTCCTATTTTTAATTACAATTTTCAGTACCTGATTTTCTTACCTAAATAATATGTTTTTCAGTTCCTATTAATGTTAACTCAAAGTACAAGGTTTGAAGTGCCTGCATGTAAAATATTTCAAATAAAGATATATATTTAATATTTTTTTTTGATATTTTCAAAATCGGGTGAGATATACCCATGGTTATTAGTGGTATAACTTTAATTTATGGTT